GCTCCTAATTAGGATGGGTTAAATGGAGCTAACAAATTCTGCATGTATTGTAAAGTGTATAAATCGTATGTGGTCAATAAAGATGAAACTCATCTTAACTAGGCACAGCACCTGTTAGAAGCTTTCTCATTCCACCTCTGTCTTCCCTCAGGCTTCACAAACAACCTAAACAGATGTATCCCTCAAACCCTGCATCCTTTCCACTTCTCTCGCTTCTGTCCTTCCATCATATTTTCTCTGGCAATCTCAGCTCCCCCCACCTTGATAATTGTAGCACAAACGGTACCCATGACAGCTATCTGTGATTATGCCATCGGTCAAAACCCGTAGATTCCTCCCGTTTCTTATAAGTCAATGAGGCATCATAGAAATGTACCCAGCCATCATAGCAGCCATTTTCGGGGTCCTAAATGGTTAAGAAAATCACTGCCATGTAATCTGACAATAGTGCCATCATAGAAATCATTTAAAGAGTTGGTATTATGCTAATTTTCTTTTTTTAAATCTTATTTAGAGGTTGTACCAGAGCAGGTTTACATGGTTATATTTTTGTCATACTGCACATTGCTGCAGCTCCTCTTTTCACCCTGTTTTGAAGGCTTCGTTTTAGCTATGGAGTGATACATCTTGTTTCTAAATGATCTTTGTTGGGAGTTGCACATGCTCAGTTCCTAGTTAAGGTCTACTAGCCAATCAGAAGCAGAGAAGGGCGGGTCAGCGAGAAGCCGGTAAACGGCTCGGGTTCAGCCGTACGTGTTGCCGACCAGCTTGGCAACATGGACTGGAGCGAGAGTTTCAGAGCGGTGAGTTATTAATCTGTATCCATAAAGTTTTAACTGAGCTCTGTCTCTACATCACAGGAACAACTTTATGTCCACTGACTGCCTGGAGGGTAGCTAGTGTTTGGAAGGGAGAGGAGAGCTGTGAGCTGCAGCTCGCTGTTTCTGAGGGCGTGTCGGAGTAGCTGCTTGGCGAGTGTTATATGAGGCGCATTTAGCTTTCATCCCTGTGACGTCACGAAGCGGCTGGACTACAAACAAGCTTGTTTTCAGTTGAGAGCAGAGTTTTCTGTGGGAGATGGGAACTCCCTTTGGGCTTTTTCAATCTGCAAACCTATTACATGCACAAAAAAGGAATATAACTCAATAAAGGAGAGGGAAAAAGCCAAAAAAGCAGAATACCACCTCTTTAAAGGATAATCACATTGTCTAGTAATAATTGCAGCTCGTGCGGAGGATCTCCCTGCTGTTGACCCAGCACAAGTTCATCATCTAAGACCTTCACATTCAAGTTACAAAACTCAATCAATGACTCACTTTCTCAGTCTTTCAGATTTTCAGGCATCGGCACCAGCCCTCTTCAGCCTTAGAACTCTCCACACAGGCAGTACATCAATAAATTTTGTCTTTCCATTTTATGTTTCTTCTTGGGCTTTATCCAAAGCAGAACACATGAAAAGACAGTTCCCCCTCTCAGAGTCTCGACTCCCCCGGATCCCTTCTGCCTAACTAACACCTTCATCCCCGCATCCCTCGGCCCACAACCCTTTATTCCTCTAACCTATCCCCTTCATCTCTATCAGTGCATTCCTTGACCCTCATCTCTTAATCCCTGACTCATCTTCCTCTTCCCCACTTCCCTCAACTTCTCACTCTTCTTCCTCTTCCTCTGGACCGACACATTAAGCTCAACATGGATCCATCAGGTGTTGATTATTTACCTGGTTTTCTTCTGCTTTAAGTGTAGGTCGAGTGGTTTTCGGATTTTTAATCAGTTCTTCAGCAACATCATAACAGCCATCCCATTTATCGCCACTTATTTTGTCCTCGACTGCTTCAGTCAACGTGTCTTTCGCAGCTTTTGTCAAAACCTCTTTCAGCACAATTTTCTCCTGGTCCAGAACCACTCTGTGATATAGATATTTTTTTTTAAATTTTGAATCCTCACAGCATTTCATCCATCCAAATGATGAAATTAAGGCAGCCGACACGAGGGAGCAAAAGAGTAGAGAGATGCCAATAACCTGAAAAAAAGATAACAAAGATGGTTAATATTATTGCCACAGAAACTGAGAAACAACAATGACTTTATTCCATCACTTTGAGATCATGAGTTTTTGTCTCGGAACAACAGAAGAACCAGCCCTCTAAGCGCACCACCACATCCTGTGCACGTTAGGTGCCAAACACAATCACAAAGCAGTCCACCCCTCACATTTCTGTAAATATCTGATTCTATCTTTTCATGTGACGACACTGAAGAAATGACACTTTGCTACAATGTAAAGTAGTGAGCGTGCAGCTTGTATAACAGTGTAAATCTGCTGTCCCCTCAAAATAACACATCACACAGCCGTTAATGTCTAAACCACTGGCAACAAAAGTGAGTACACCCCTAAGTGAAAATGTCCAAAATAGTAATTTTACCTCCCCAACGTGTCCTTTCTTCAGTGTTGTCACATGAAAAGATATAATCAAATATTTTCCAATATGTGAGGGGTGACTCACTTTTGTGAGAAACTGAAATTATCTTTTTCAGGACAACAATTTTCATTTTATCAAAATAATGCTTAAACATCACATCATCTTCAAAAACAACCTTTGTTTTGTTTTATCAAGATATCTCATGATCTCAAGACAACGAATAAAATAAAATAATATTGACAACAGCTGTTCTTAATATTTTACAGATGTACAAATAAAAGACAAGCTGATCTGATGGAATAACAGACATGATGCGTATAAAGCAGAGAGCAAAGACTCACCCAGGACCAGTCCTTCAGTTCAGCTATGATTTTTCGATCCATTGCTGTCATGTCAGTCTCGGCTTTGCAGGCTAACTGTTTCTGTTGTTTAGACTGATCATTCCAACAACAAACGTACCAGTCTCCATCGATTAACACGGATACAACCCACAGCAGACCGATGAAAACTGCCTTGATAATGTGATGCAAGAAAATGCAGAAGACTCTCCAAAGTCTTTCTTTACAGCATTGTTTGGTACAGGTACAGGTACATTTCCTGGTTCTTGGACATGTATATTTCCAGGCTCTCTTGAATTTCTTGTCCGTCCAGAGTTGTAAAACAAACAAAATGAAAAATGGCATAATCATGTAGAAAATGCAGACGAGAGTTTGTTGTTCGCACGAGCACTGCAAATCCTTGTCAAGCACAACATTGTGAATAAAAATCACAATGATTGCCAAGTATGTGCTGAGTTGTTTGAGAGCAAATTTTGGAAATAAGTCCTTCATCTTTGGTGCGAAGTTTGCTGCTGAGAGCTGCTGGTGGTAACCTGTGAACATCCCTATACAGGAAACAGGAAGAGAGCTGCTTTCACACAAAAGAGTTTGACTAAATCCCTTCATATAGCAAGTTAATGCACAGATAGCACAACGATGCACAATGCATAAAAAAACAAGAAGAGATCAGAACAGCTGCATCAACGTAAATATTTAAAACTGTAAAAGTAGATGAGAAGGTGCAAACGTCAGTCCTGCAGTGACAGGATTTACATAAACTGCTGATGAGAGTTAAGTCATTTATGGTACATGAAGCACTAGAAGGAAATAACTGGCCTAACAAAGAAACCACACGCTTGTGGTGGTGGTGTGTTTTCTTTTGCAGGTGCCAGCTCCTCCAACTCAAGTGCACAGTGTGGGCAAAGCTTTGTTTTTGGTTTGGTTTGACTACACAGGAGGCGCAGCGAGATGTTAGCAGACGTTAGCAGAGCAGCTTCAGTCCTGTGGGGTGGGAACGCTGACATAGAACTGGATCACTTCAGGAGAACTGACAGCGCCTGGTGAAAAAAATCCTTCAATTTAGATTGTGTTGATGGAGAATGTAGGCAACGTCACGGTGACGTCAGACGTCACAACAACGGAGAAACGAGGCAGAGAGATTTGTATTTTTTTCTTTGCGCCCAGATAACTTACATGTGGATTAGAACACGGATAACGTGCATGTCTCACCTCTGTTAGAAATACCCGTCTACATATACAAACTAAACATTCTGAATGTCCCAAGTTAGTTGTAAAGTTCTGTGAGGCTGTTGTGCTATGACACATTACACATAAATGCAAGTTTATCAGCTTTACACGGGCCCCCCACTATCAATATGCCTCTATCTTCACTCTCTGCTAATAAAACTAAGCCCATTAATGAAAGTTGGCAAGCCACAGAAGGATAACATTATTTCTATTAGTCTAATAAAACTATATTGACATGGAGGATAGCTTTGCTATAAACAGATGTAAATGCTCCGTACTTGTATAGCGCCTTTCTAGTCTTTTCAACCACTCAAAGCGCTTTTACACTACATCTGCATTCACCAGTCACACACATTCATACACTGAGCCTAAGTGCTCAAACGGAAACTAACATTCACACACATTCATACACTGGCGGAATAGCCGCCAGGGGCAAATCGGCGTTCAGTATCTTGCCCAAGGACACTTCAACACGCAACCAGGGGGAGCCAGGGATTGAACCGCCGACCATGCGATTAACAGCCAACCCGCTCTACCTCCTGAGCCGCCCCAACAGAGCAGCCATGCAACTTTAAAATAAAGTTACTAGTTAATTTTAACAGGCAGAGAAACCTTGAACAAAACTGGAGGGGGGTCATCCATCACTGCAGTCGTTCTTCTATAACCCCAGAGTCTCCGCAGTCAGCACTTATACAAAGCTCCTCAGTCCTACTGCTAAGAATTATTTGACACTTTTTACCTCATTATAACAAGATTACTGAAGAGACATTTAAATCTTAATGCTGATGATTTAGTTTCATGAAACGACATATAAACTTCTGACTTTATCATGAGTTCATCAGCTGCCTTAATCCTTTCATACATTTAGGAAATAAATATAAAGTATTTCAGATATGAAACTGTCAACTTGAGTAGCTGAACTAGTAACTACTAACTAGTGCTTGATTAAATATAGTTTATTACTTTGACTGTAGCCCTACAGCAGTAACAAGGAGAGAGACAGAGGATCATTTTCCCTTCATTGTTTATTGGAAGATATTTTCACAGTAATGATAAAACATGAAACAGATCTATTATTACAGATTCTATTATTATTACATTATTTTTTATGACAACTTTTTACACACATATGTACATTGAATGCAAAGTTTAAGATAAAAAGAAAACATTAAATCACTCTACATGATTGTTTTTATACTATATTCATTGTTCTCAGCTGGTTCTCCTGGAGGTTTCTGAAAAAAGCAAAAAAAAAAACATCAGTTTAGGTTAGAAGCCCTCAAATCTTCTGTAAAAGTATAAATACATCAATGTGAAAAATACTTCATTATATGTACAAGGTAAATGATGTGTTCTCAGGTCAAAGTAATATGTGCTCACATCCAGAGTAAAGCCAGTGGAAACTGATCATTGATGCATTTAATCTCCACAACTGGTTAAAATGCTTCCAGCTACAATTTTAAAGATTTGGGAATTTAACAGTGACAAACTGACAAAAGAATGAGATTAAGCCACTGCAGGACAGAAATAATGAAAATATCTAATAGCTGTGACTTTTCCAAACAACAGGCTGAATGTTTAATCACTGGAAACAGATAAATGTAGAGCAACAAGTAAAGAAACATCAAGAAGTAATTCAGCGAGGTAAAGTGGTTAAAAGGTAAATGTAAATATTTAAATATATTTAAATCCAAATGGAAGAGGAGGAAAAGTTGAAAGTCTCAAACAGAAATCCTCTTCTGCACAGAACTGAAGGAAATGCACCGATTGATATTTGGAGTAAAAGCTGAAGCAGCAGCGGCCTCTAGTGGCGTCTGGATACGTGAAACGCTGTCACTGCTGCTCAGAGGGATTCTGGGAATCTGCTGTCAGTTTCTAGTCTCCAGGACGTTTCACAGGCCATGTTCTGATCCTGTCTGTGATCCAGGTTCAAGACCAACCTGTGAATCAATCAATGAAACCAACAGGAGCGAATATGCAGCATGAAGATGATGAGAATCGTCTCCACTTTCACTGAGAAACACCAGCAGCTCATCATCTTCAGCTTCAGCTCAAAGTTTCATGATGAACACAAATTAAAGGAACTTGTTGATGCAGTTATTGTAATTCCTATAAGACATGTTGAGCTGAGTATCTACTGTGATGACAGGTGTGAATTCTTTACCTGGGTTCTTGTTGTTGCTCCTCTTCAGAAATGTTTGCTTTAGATCTTTTAATCAGTTCTTCAGCAACATCGAAACACTCCTCCCATTGTTTACCACGTATTCTCTCCTCGACTTCTGTAGTCAACTTTTCTTTTACTGATTTCCTCAGAATCTCTATCAAGACGTTTTCCTCCTCCTCTAAAATCAGTTTGTCCTTCAAAAGTTTTCTGTTGCAAGAACTTGATTTTCCACAACATTTCGTCCATCTGCACAGCGGCATAAGGGATGCCATCAAAATGATACCAAAGAGTAAAACTCCACCAATAACCTGAAAGAGAAACAAAGATGGTCGTGGATTTGCTGTCAGTTCATTCATTCATCTGATCAAAACAAGACCTCAGTGAAATAAAAGGTAACACACTCTGACATGATGGAAACACTCACCCTGGACTTGTTTTTCACTTCAGCAATGAGGACTTGCTCCTTTTCAGTGATCCTCCTCTTGTCTTTGCAGGCTAACTGTGCCTGTTGTTCAGAGCCATCATTCTTACAGCAAACATACCAGTCTCCATCAATATACACAAAAGCAACCCAAAGCAGACCAACTAACAAAGCCTTAAGAAGCTTACGCAAGAAAGAGCCTAAAAAACTGCAGATGTGAGGCCGGCTACGGCATCCAAACGCACCTGAACACATGTATCTAAAGACTCTCTGAAATGACCGGTCTGTCCACAGAATATAGATAAATATTATTAAAACTGGCAGGACCAGGTACGAAGTACAGTCAAAGACTTGTGGTTTACAAGTACACGCAAAGTCCATGTCGAGCAAAATATTGTAGGTAAACATCAAAATGACTGCAGTGTAGGTTCTGAGATTCCCAGAAGTGAGTTTTGTCAGTACGTCCTCCATCTCTGATGTTCAGTTTGCAAAAGCCTGCAGCTTAAACCCCTTTGTACATTTACTGACAGGAAACCGTGTATTTCCTGTTATTTTAAGAAATACAGTACTGTGCAAAGAATTTAGGCAGGTGTGGGGAAAAATGCTATAAACCTAGAATTGCATTAAAAGAAAAAGACAAAGATTAATAGACAAATAGAAAATATTATATTTATCAATTAATAAAATGCAAAGTGAGCGAACAGAATAAAAATTTAAATCAGATCAGTACATGGTGTGTCCGCCCTTTGCCTTCAAAACAGCAAAAATTCTTAAAGGTATACAAAGGCTTTTGTAGGCAAATTGTTAGGTGGTTGATTTAACAATATACCAAAAGGGCACTTTTGTTCTCTGCATAGATAATATTCATGTAAGAGACTGCCTCCCATTTTTGTGCAGTGGTTCCATGGTGTAATGGTTAGCACTCTGGACTCTGAATCCAGTGATCCGAGTTCAAATCTCGGTGGAACCTGAATTTAAGCGCGAGTGCAACCTGTCCACTTCTGGATAATCACGAACCTTCAGCTCATCTTGTCGTATGTGAAAGTTTAAGGATGTGTTTCCAAGTGGACAGTTTACTGTCAAAAGTCATTCACCATGGCAAGGCCGAGCACAGCAACATGACACAAGGTAGTTACACTGCGTCAGCAAGGTCTCTCACAGGCAGACATTTCAAGGCAACCGACTTTGCAGATGTGAAGAAGCACAAAGAAACGGGAAACACTTTGGACCTTAGACGCAGTGAAGATGTCCAGCAGTTCTATCAGCTCACAGCTGCAGAAAACAGCGGGACCCTGGTCCACTAATCTACTGTCCGGAGAGGTATGGTCAGGAGTGGCCTTCATGGAAGACTTGCAGCCAAAAAGCCTCCAACATGGAAACAAGGCCAAACGATTCAACCATGCATGTAAACCACATAAGGCCGAATAAGTGTACTCAGGCGGTCCGCAAGGCCAAAATAGATTATTATAAGGAACAGCTCTCTCTTTGTAGTTCTAATCCCAGTAAATTTTGGGAAATAGTTAAGGGCATGGAAAGTAGACCCTCCTCCCTGCAGCTGCCAGTGTCCCTCAACATTGATGATTTCATTGTCACAGACAAAGGCCGTATGACAGAGCTCTTCAATCTTCATTTCATTAAGTCTGGCTCCCTGTTTGACTTAACCACACCTCCCTGACAATCCAACGTGCCCTTTTCTCCCATTAAATCAAAGGTAACTAGATGTGAAACACATCCCCCTAGTCATCAATACCTGTAACACAGTTTTACCCTCCGGCCTGTTACGGAGTCTCACCACCGCAACCGTCAAGGTCTTAAATGACATTATTACAGATTCACTTGACAAGAAGCAATGTTGTGCTGCTTGTTTTATTGACCTGGCAAAAGCTTTCGACACAATGGACCATTCCATCCTAGCGAACCGACTAAGGAACGTTGGTGTCTCTGAGCATTCAGTGGCGTGGTTTGCCAATTACCTCACTGGCAGAGTCCAAAGTGTAAGGTCAGAACATCTGCTGTCTAAGGCCCTTACTGTCACCAAGGGAGTACCACAAGGCTCAATTTTAGGCCCACCACTTTTTTAAAGATTGGGGGTTCTCATTCACCCAATCTGCTAAACTCACCCTGATTCAGATGACTATATTACCCATGCTAGACTTTGGTTATGTAATTTACATGTCTGAAGGTAAGGGACATCTCGAGCGGCTAGATGTTCTTAATCACTCAGCTATCAGACTTGCCACCAATGCTCCTTACAGGACACACCACTGCAATCTGTACGCCTCCATAAACTGGACATCCCTTCACGCTCGACGTAAGATCCACTGGTTTATGCTCACTTAAAAAAACTCTTTTAGGCCTAACCCCTCCGTATTTGGGATGTCTACTTCATCCTTCTTCCATCACCTACAGCATCCGCTCTTCTAGTCACATCCGGCTACAAATCCCTTCGGCTAACACATCATTAGGTCGCACCGCCTTTCAGTTCGCTGCGTCCAAAGATTGGAACCAACAACAAAAAAAAAAACTCTCCACTCTAGTCAACACTGCCACTTTTAAAGGCAAAATCACCAACTTGTTCACAGAAAACTGTAATTGCTTCATGTGATGTTATGTGTTGTTGTTATATGTCGCTCTGCTACTATCTAGATTGTTGTCATTATTCAGCTTTTGTGCCATTTGTTGTATTGTCTACTCTCTGTAGATTTTCTTATGTCTAGTCTGTTATTATGTCTCTTTACCTGTCTTTTAATTATTTTCTCATCTGGTCTCTTCGTGTCCTTGTGCCTGGTTTTTAGGTTGGTTGTTGGGACTGTGTTGTTGTCCTGCATCCTCTGTCTATTTTTTCGTGTTTTTATTTAATCCCAGTACCCTTTCCCAAACAAGGCCTTTGTCCCCTGCCAGGCCGTTGTTGTAAATAAGAAACTGTTCTGAATTAACTTGCCTGGTAAAATAAAGGTATAATAAAAATCATTTTAAAAGTCTTCATAATCACAGAACGTTGTCTGATCTTGTTGGATGTGGAAAGTTAGACTGTGTTTCATGACCAATTGGATGACGTTGTGGCGGGAGTTGAGCCATAGCATGTCATGGCATAGTGTATTGTATCGTGTCGTATGCACTCTGTCATGATATAGCAAAGGTTCTACTGTGCACAAGGTTGCGCAGTCAGGATGGCCGAGCGGTCTAAGGTGCTGCGTTCAGGTCGCAGTCTCCTCTGGAGGCGTGGGTTCGAATCCCACTTCTGACAGCTACTTTTCAAACTCAGCAAAATGCCTTTCACACGGTATTGGGGTAGAAGAGTCAATCGTTCCTTGTATGTTGGATGATAAGTGATAAGTAAAAACAGACAGTGTTAGTAGTACAGTGGGTTTGACATACAGATTCAAAGAAGAAGTTGTTCTCTAGCCTCTCATGTAATATTTGGTGTGACCACCCTTTGCTTTTAAAATAGCATCAGTTCTTCCAGGCGCACTTGCACAAAGTCAGGGATTTTGTAGGTTTATCGTCAGCTGTTTGATTAAACAATTATACCAAACAGATGCTAATGATCACCAATTCAACATGTAGGTTTCAAACACAATCATTACCTGAAACAGAAACAGCTTGGGGAGGAATTCAACTGGGTGAGGAACAGCCAAACCCAACAGCTCTCCCACGTCTGTTCTCTGCATAGATAATATATACATGGTGATTTCACGTAAGAAACTGCCTCCTGTCTCTGTGTAGTGGTTCCATGGTGTAATGGTTAGCCCTCTGGACTTTGAATCCAGTGATCCGAGTTCAAATCTCGGTGGAACCTGAATTTAAGCGCGAGTGCAACCTGTCCACTTCTGGATAATCACGAACCTTCAGCTCATCTTGTCGTATGTGACAGTTTAAGGATGTGTTTCCAAGTGGACAGTTTACTGTCAAAAGTCATTCACCATGGCAAGGCCGAGCACAGCAACATGATACAAGGTAGTTACACTGCGTCAGCAAGGTCTCTCACAGGCAGACATTTCAAGGCAACCGACTTTGCAGATGTGAAGAAGCACAAAGAAACGGGACCTTAGACGCAGTGAAGATGTCCAGCAGTTCTATCAGCTCACAGCTGCAGAAAACAGCGGGACCCTGGTCCACTAATCTACTGTCCGGAGAGGTATGGTCAGGAGTGGCCTTCATGGAAGACTTGCAGCCAAAAAGCCTCCAACATGGAAACAAGGCCAAACGATTCAACCATGCATGTAAACCACATAAGGCCGAATAAGTGTACTCAGGCGGTCCGCAAGGCCAAAATAGATTATTATAAGGAACAGCTCTCTCTTTGTAGTTCTAATCCCAGTAAATTTTGGGAAATAGTTAAGGGCATGGAAAGTAGACCCTCCTCCCTGCAGCTGCCAGTGTCCCTCAACATTGATGATTTCATTGTCACAGACAAAGGCCGTATGACAGAGCTCTTCAATCTTCATTTCATTAAGTCTGGCTCCCTGTTTGACTTAGCCACACCTCCCTGACAATCCAACGTGCCCTTTTCTCCCATTAAATCAAAGGTAACTAGATGTGAAACACATCCCCCTAGTCATCAATACCTGTAACACAGTTTTACCCTCCGGCCTGTTACGGAGTCTCACCACCGCAACCGTCAAGGTCTTAAATGACATTATTACAGATTCACTTGACAAGAAGCAATGTTGTGCTGCTTGTTTTATTGACCTGGCAAAAGCTTTCGACACAGTAGACCATTCCATCCTAGCGAACCGACTAAGGAACGTTGGTGTCTCTGAGCATTCAGTGGCGTGGTTTGCCAATTACCTCACTGGCAGAGTCCAAAGTATAAGGTCAGAACATCTGCTGTCTAAGGCCCTTACTGTCACCAAGGGAGTACCACAAGGCTCAATTTTAGGCCCACCACTTTTTTAAAGATTGGGGGTTCTCTACCGTAATCGGTCATCATTCACCCAATCTGCTAAACTCACCCTGATTCAGATGACTATATTACCCATGCTAGACTTTGGTTATGTAATTTACATGTCTGAAGGTAAGGGACTTCTCGAGAGGCTAGATGTTCTTAATCACTCAGCTATCAGACTTGCCACCAATGCTCCTTACAGGACACACCACTGCAATCTGTACGCCTCCATAAACTGGACATCCCTTCACGCTCGACGTAAGATCCACTGGTTTATGCTCACTTAAAAAAACTCTCTTAGGCCTAACCCCTCCGTATTTGGGATGTCTACTTCATCCTTCTTCCGTCACCTACAGCATCCGCTCTTCTAGTCACATCCGGCTACAAATCCCTTCGGCTAACACATCATTAGGTCGCACCGCCTTTCAGTTCGGACCAAAGATTGGAACCAACAACAAAAAAAAAAACTCTCCACTCTAGTCAACACTGCCACTTTTAAAGGCAAAATCACCAACTTGTTCACAGAAAACTCTAATTGCTTCATGTGATGTTATGTGTTGTTGTTATATGTCGCTCTGCTACTATCTAG